ACGTCCGCCGCTCTCCGGAGAGGATCTCACGGACCCCCTTTCCGACCCCGCCGAACGATTCGAACAGCAGCAGCTGCACTTCGACGCCCTTGTCTTCCCTGGCGTAGCGATAATCCCCGCCGTAGGACGGTATGCGGCGGTCGCCGCCCATCACCCTGCCCCCCCTGGTATGCCAGCGCCCAGTCCCTTGCCCTCTCTCGCCCTTGCTCTTCTTGACCTCTCCCCCTCCCCCCCGGTACCCCTCCCCCTCCCCCCCCCCCTCCTCCTCTCCCCCCCCCTCTCCCTGCCCCCCACCTCCCTCTCCCTCCTCGCAGTAGGGCCCATGCCCCATGACCATGTTCCGGTAGAATGATTCAGTGTTGCCGAAAGCGACAAAAGCGCCCTTCCGACCGTGCTCCCCGCTGCTGCTGAGGGAACAGACGACCTTGACGTCTCCGCAATAGTGCGTGCCGTGCGAGCCAATGTTGTCCGCGTCCACGTCGGGTTGTTTGTTGTAACTCTGACCGAGGTGGGCTTTCGGCTCCATTCGCACAGCGGTGCCCCACGCGGCGCGTAGGGCGAGGATGAGGCGTCGAAGCGTGTACTTGTGTCTGGTGTTGTGGCCCTGCTGCGGTACGTTGACAGCAGCGTCGCCATACTCGTCGTGGGTCTTCCCATTCCGAGTCTTCTTGCCCGCCGCCGCGGCCTGGCAGGCCACGTCGAGGGGGAGACCCAGGCGGCGCTGCACCGAAAGACGCATCGCCCAAGTCTCCATTCGCATGTCATCCCGCATTGGGATGGCGTTGAGGAAGGCGCCGGCGCCATCCTGGCTCACCGCCACGAAGCGGACTGCCTCCCGCCAAGCCTCATGCTTCGCCCGCTCCCTGCCCTTGGCCTGCGCCTTGCCCTTCTTGCCGCGAGGAGCAGACCGCGATCCCGCGGAGCCCTCCTCGGCGAGCTCCACGGCGAGGTCGCGCCAGTTCCTGTTGTGGACCACCGTCGTGAAGCGCCGCTGCGCCTGGTGTAGGAACTCGTGCTTGGACGTGAACTCGGCGAGGGGCAGCAGCTCCTTGGCCTGGACGAGAGTATGCGGCCGGAAGCGCGAGAGCGCCACCCTCGTAGCCGGCTCCGGCGGCCGCGCGGAGGCGCGCAGCTTCTCGCCCTCGTCGGGCTCGTCCCACGGCTCCACCTCGACTTCCGGGGGCCTGCCCGTCGTGCCACCGACCAGGTCAAAGTACTCCGCCTCCGTCTTGTCGTCCCACTCCTTCCACGTCGCCGTGATCTCGCCGTGCTCCTTCTTGAGCCTGTCATGCGCCGCCCGCAGCTCGTCGAAATCGGAGCCCGGCGCCTTGCTCACGTCAAGGTCGCGGAAAGGAGCATGCAGCTGGCGCATGGGCCCAGCGACGAGCGCCCACGTGCCAATCCACGCCGGCTCGCGAATGTCGACGGCGCTGGTGAGGCCCATGCCGCCCATCTTGACGGGCAGGCGCGCCTGCTTGCGCGCGCGCTCCCAGCGTGTGCCGGCGGCGCCGACCCGCGCCCCGCCGACGAGCTTGTATAGCGCCGCGTCAATCAGCTCGTCGTGCCTCTCCGCTGCCGGGAGGGTGACCGACGGCGGCATGGCGCGAAGGAAAAGAAATAAAGACGTACTCGGCCGCAAGACGGCCAGAGTGGCTGGAAGGGGCACGCCGGTCGCCGCCGTTTGGTACGGCTTGGGAGCAAGTACGCTGATTGGATTCCATCGTGTCTCCCCCACAGCGCACACCAAGAAAACACAGCCCGAGTAATGTGTGCCTGCGGCCCCTGCTGCATCTTGCTGCTGCTCACTGGTCGCTACGCTATATGTATACGTAGTCCACAGTCCACAGAGAACGAGAAAGTAGCTGCCGGAGCCGGCGTGGCGGCGTGCGCGCCGCGCGGGCGTTGGCATATCACGACAGCATGTATGTCCCGTCGGCACCAGCCGCGCCACCGGGACCGCGTGGTCGCACGACGGCTCGGGCCATGTCCGTGGCACCCGCCGGGGTCCACGGCGGGTCGGGGGAACCAAGCTCCAAGGGGGCGGGAGGAGGCAAGCGACTAGCCCGGTCGAGCTCGATAGGGGGTCGAGCGCAAGCTCCAGGGAGCAATCGTTTCAGGCTCCTCCGCCCTGCGTGCGGTTGCGGTTCTCCTCGAGCTCCGCGTCGCGCGCCGCCACCGTCCCCTTCAGCTCCGCCACCTGGTCGAGCGCGTCGCCGAGCAGCCCCTTGGCCACGCCCAGGTCGCGCAGCTGCTCCACGCCGCCACTCGCCCGCACCTCGGCGGCGTTGTCGGCCACGAAGCGGCGGCACTGCGCGAGGAGCCGCCCGTTGCCCGTCGCGTGCGCCGCCTCGAGCAGCGGCACGGCGGTCGCCGGCGCGACGCTCTCCTGCAGCGCCTGCGCGCATAGCAGCTCGAGGCGCGGCACCTGGTACATCTGCGCCAGCTCCCGCAGCACGAGCGCGCGCCGCGCCTGCTCGCCCTCCCCCTCGCCGAGGTCGAACTGGTCGGTGCAGAGGTAGTCGATGAAGGCGGTGAAGCTGGCGAGGTCCGTCTTGGGCACCGTGATCTCGGCGGCGTCGCGCTCCTTCATGCCGATGCCGAACATCTTCCCATAGTACTCGGACCGCACGCAGAGCAGGCTCTTGCTCACGTGCTCGATGCGCTCCTCGTCATCGCCGACGATGAAGGTGACCTTGCCGTCGGGGAGGCTCGCGTCGCCCCGCATCTTCTTCAGGTCTGCCACGAGGGTCGAGGGCGGCACCACAATCGGCGCGAAGGAGGGAGGCGGAGGAGGCGCCGACACGCAGACCTGGCGGAGGGAGGACCCCGAGGAAACCAGAAGAGCGCTGCCGTCGGTGCTGATGGCAAGGCTGTTTGGGTAGCGGAGCTGAGCCGCGCCACCCACGCCACTGCCCGCGAGCGTCGTCACAGCGCCAGTCGTCACCTCCACCCGCTGGATCTTGTGATTCATTTCGTCTGCCACAAACAGCGCGCTGCCGTCAGGGCTGATTGCGACGCCGCACGAATTGGCGAACTGCGCCGCGCTGCCCACGCCATCAGCACTGCCCAAGGAGCCGCCGCCCGCGATCGTGGTCACCGCGCCAGTCGCCACCTCCACGCGCCGGATCTTTTGGTTGTTTCGATCTGCCACAAACAGCGCGCTGCCGTCCGGGCTGATGGCGACGCCGCTTGGGTAGCAGAACTGCGCCGTGCCGCTCACGCCATCGGCACTGCCCGCGGTGCCGCTGCCCGCCGCCGTCGTCACCGCGCCCGTCGCCACCTCCACCCGCCGGATCTTGTGGCCGCCGAAGTCCGCCACAAACAGCGCGCTGCCGTCTGGGCTGATGGCGACGCCGCATGGGAAGTAGAACTGCGCCGTGCCGCCCACAGCGTCAGTGTCGCCACCCTCGCCACTGCCCGCCAGCGTGGTCACCGTTCCAGTCGCAGCCTCCACCTGTAGGATCTTGTGGCCGTTGAAGTCCGCCACAAACAGCGTGCTGCCGTCGGGGCTGATGGTTGCCGGAACCCATGGTGGCTGGTCGGTGTCCTCCAAGGTTGCCACGCTACGCACGCGCCCGGCCGCAGAGACGTGCAGCACTGCATTCTCAGTGGTAACGTACCAAGCGCCTGCGTGATCGCTCACGATGCCGCCCACGTTGAGCGCTGCCGGGCCGTCCTCTCCCTCGAGCGGCAGCGTGGTGACCTGGCCGACGACGCGCAGGCCAAAGATGGGGGTCTCGAAGCCATCCGCGACCGCCACGGCCCCGTCGTCCGACTCGCCGTCCTCGCCAGCGGTGCGGGCGCGCTTGGTCATACCTGCGGTTGCCAAAATAAAAAGCCTCCTTTTGGTATGTATAAAATAAAAAGCTGCTTTGATCCCGATCATCCGGCCCGCTGGGTGCGCTTCTTAGCTCCCCGGCCCTGGATGTGAGGCTAATGACTGCACTCCAAGTGCTCCTTGCGTGTCGTGCGCGTGTCTGGTGTTTCTTAGCTCCGAGTAGAGCTAGAGGGGGCGCTCCGCCGCTAGGGAAACCCAAAGCGCAGACTGGCCCTCGGACACCCGTGTTTACTGTAAACACGGGTGGCCCCTTTCTGCGAACGCGCACCCCCACCCAGGGCTAGGGCTCTCTAGCCCGTAACCCGATCGATGCCAATCATCTCTAGGGCTTTCTTGCCCGTAACCCGATGCCAATCATCCGGCCCGCTGGGTGCGCTTCTTAGCTCCCCGGCCCTCAGATTTCTTTCGACTTTTTGTGTGCCTCCCTGCCGCAGCGGTTGCCTTGACCGCACCTCCCAAGCCCGAGCGGCGGCGCCCCCGGAGGCCTCGCGCTCACGCCGCACAGCCTCCGTCGGCTGCGCTCGCCCAACGCGATGCTCCGGTTCCAGCGATCCGCTGTCGGTGAGCTTCGCACCTGCGCGGAGCGCATGCTGCCGCCGTCCCCCCTCGGACGTGAAGTCCTGCAGGATGCGCACACCTGGGCGAGGGGCAGAAGGGGCGGGGGCGTGCGGGGCAGAGTGCGTGTCGGGCCGGGGTGTGAGCGAGGGGCGGGGGCGTGCGGGGCAGAGGCCCAACGTCGGGCGGCTTGTCGGGGTCCAGAGCATTCGAGGGGGGAACGAGGAGGGGGGGATGGGCGGTCGGCGACGAGTAGAGCGACAGGCGCGTACGGGGTAGCCGTCACTTTCCTGCCTCACAAGGGCGGGGCTGTCCCGGAAAGTGAGAGACGCCGGGCAGCGTGGCGCATTACTGAACCCTCCCATACGTGCTCGTGCTCCTCCTTCGCTGTCCCATCTCCCCACCTCTTTCCCGCCTGGGCGGGGCGGTGGGCGGGCGCGCGGTGCGGCGTGGCGTGTGCGTGTGTGCGTCTGCAACGAAGGACCGCTCGCAGAGGACCATTGGGTTTGTACTATTAACAACGAAGGCGCTCTCAAAAAAAAAAGTAAATCGAGGTGCCTCACGCTCGGTGGAGATATCTGCCCGATCGAACGCCAGCCCGCGCCAGATGCTGCTGCTGCTGCTGGCCTCCGCCGCAGCTCAAGACGAGACCAGCCACCGTAAGGGCTGTGGCGAGCATGGGTACAGGGATGGTCGGTGGGTGCCGACGCCAGAGCAGGCGGCGCCGTACAGGCTACACCGCAACGTGCAGCGCAACCCACTCGTCAAGGGTTGGGCGTATGCGGGCCGACGATTCTGGGGCGCCTGCGACGAGGGCCTGGCCGACAATGCGACGCGCGAGGCCGTGCAGCAGCGGTGGCAGCCGGCCAGATGCGAACTGCAACCCTTCGACGCGGCGGCGCTCTGCCGCCGGCTCGTCCTTGGCAAGCGCGGCGACGGGTCGCACGCGCGGCGGCCTCGCGCTGACCCGCCGCTCGACATCCTGTTCGTGGGTGACTCGTTCACAGGCCAGCTCTTCATTTCGTTCGTCTCGCTGCTGCGCGGCTCCATCCTGCGCAACGAGGGCGCGCCTCGCACGGCGCCGTCGGGAGCGATGGTCTTCGGCGACATTCCGATCGCCGAGCTGAAGGCGGACGCGGTGGCGTGCATCGACGACGCGGCGGCGCTGCGGATCGACTTTGTGGACGACGTGCCGGGCAAGGGGCAGCACGCGCCGCTTCGCGTCTCCTTCGTGCGCAACGAGGGCTTGAGCCTCAACACGGTGGAGCCAACGTCCGGCTACCGCCACCAGTACCCCTTCACGCACCGGATCGGGCCGCGCACGCTGCTGGTGACGCAGGCGCGCCCCATGCACGCATGCGCGAGCCACCGCACTCCCTCGGCGGCGTGTGGGCGAGCGGCGGGCAGGACGCAAGGCGTCCAGACAGCTGGCCCGCGAGTTGGACTGCCCAGACAGCTGGCCCGCGAGTTGGACTGCCCAGACAGCTGGCCCGCGAGTTGGACTGCCCAGACAGCTGGCCCGCGAGTTGGACTGCCCAGACAGCTGGCCCGCGAGTTGGACTGCCCAGACAGCTGGCCCGCGAGTTGGACTGCCCAGACAGCTGGCCCGCGAGTTGGACTGCCCAGACAGCTGGCCCGCGAGTTGGACTGCGACATGCCCTCGCGCCGGCTGCGCTTCACGGCTGCCGCGTCTCGACAGGTCCTCGCGTGGTTCCACAACGACGACAAGTCCTTCGCCGCCAACCTGCAAGGCCTGCTCGACCTCGCGCGCAGCCGCATGGGCGCGCCGGAGTGGGCGAGGTCGTTCGTCCTCTTCTCGGCCTCGTACGCGCACTTCTCCTGCAAGACGAAGGTCGGGGGCCGCGAGGTTGTGCCGGGCAAGGGGCCAAAGCCTGGCCAGCATAACTACGCCCTCCTGAACCGGATCGGCGAGAACATGACGCGCACGGCGGGCGCGACCTTCCTCGACGTCACCACGATGCTCGAGCGGCGCCCCGACGGGCACATGCCGCACGACTGCGGCCACTGGTGCCTGCCCGGGCCGTACGACATCGGTGCGCTGCTCCTCTTCAACGCACTGATGGGGCACATCGACGCGCCGCTCTCGCAGGTGCAGAGCCCGCCCCGGCTCTCGCAGGTGCAGAGCCCGCCCCGCCGAGCCCGGCCTGGTGCCCCACGCCTCTGGCGCCCGAACCTCCAGCTTGGTCGGCAGCCTGCACACCGCGAAGTAGTCCGCGAGCGGGCTACGGGCTAGGGAGCCCTGACCCCTAGGGGGTAGACAGCGCCCCAAAATCCCCGTCTGGGATTTCGCGCAAAAATTTGACTCTGAGAAGCTCGCATGTACCTCCTGCAAGCGCTGTGGTCGCCGCAGACTGGCTCCGACTTGACGGGCGCATGGGCTAGTTCCATTTCACTGTGGCACAGCTCGCGTTACAAAACCTTGATTTGACCATTTGCGCGACAAAGGTACATCTGGGTGCCTTCCAGAGGCAGCTGCGACCCCGCCGAGTGGACGGTAACGCACAGCAGGTGGCGCGGTGCGTTACCGTCCACTCCGCTGGATCGCAGCTGCCTCTGCGCGTCCTGGGGATGTACCTTTGTCGCGCGCCGGAGACGACTCGACGCCGCTGAGATCGGAGATCAAGCTCTGACAGGTCGCACGTCGCTCCTTTGACGCCGACGTGACTCACCCGTGCAGATCACATCAGGACACGGTCTCGACGCGCTCGGTACGACGCCTGCGACCCGTCTCGGGTCAGGTGGCACGACGCTCATCGCGCCTACCAGCGCTGCCGTGCAGGTTGCCACGACGAGGTCGAGCACGCTTCTATACGCTCGCCGAGCCTTCCTTTCCATCCCATTTGGCAGCCTGGGAACGGTGGCGGTCAGAGGCAAAGCATACGAGGGGTGGTGGAACCACATGTCACGGCTACTGCCGGCTCGACCCCACGATAGCCTCCGGAGGCTGACTTTGAGGCACAATCATCGGACGACGTCGGCGAGTTGAGTCGCGCTCGCGGTAGCCAGATGACCTCTCATACTAGTATCATCGGCCATGGCCGCAGGAAGCGCGGGGGAGGGCGCTGGGAGCAACACGGAGCTCCGTTCGACGTTTTCAAGATTAGCGTGTCAGAGTGAAATGGAACTAGCCATGGAGACGTGATGCCTCCATGCGCCCGTCATGTCGAAATCGACATGCGAGTCGATCTTTGGCCCGCCAGAGGTACATGCGGCGTTTCGGGCGACAACAGCGCTGCGACCGCGAAGTGGCGGTGGACATGCTCCCATGTTGCCGACGCAGCGCCGGAGCGGCCGGTGCTGCTCGCCGCGACCACGACGGCTACTCTGATACTCCGGGCCGACCCGTCCTACCCGACGGTGGCACTCTTCCACGTCTCGCTCACGCTGAGAAAAATTCTGAAACGGCGTGCAGCAGAGTCACCGACGAGTCGGTCCGCGTGACTCCTCGTGTCCCGTTCCGTCCGTTCTCACACATCCATAAACTCACTTTGACCTCACTGTAGCGATGCCTGAATCCTGAATCCTCAAATTTTAGATTAGGACGCTGCGCACCCTCTACCAGAGCCAGACCCGACCCCTGGAATATGTGAACGTGGCATTTTGTTACAATCTCCCCCATCGCCCTCCCTGGGGGGTTGTTTTCTCCCCCCCCCCCCCCCCCCCGCCCGCCGCGAAAACATGCGCACTCTCCCAATCCAAACAGCGGTTCCGGACCCAAGACAGCAAGCAGCACGAGCCACGACCATGGTCGGAGCCGAGGCAAAGACTCTCACCGCGGCTCCGGCCTACTCCGTCTCGCGCGTGATGGCGAAGCCCAAGACGCAGTGGCCAAAGTCGAGCGCCGCGATGCCGTTCGTGGCTCCTGCCGAGTCGAGGTGGTACCGCTCGTGGATCTCGTAGATCGAGAGGACGAGGAGCGCCGCCCGCGCGCGGGCCGCCGCGGGGAAGAGCGAGTGGCTTGCCGGCGACCACGGCGACGCCGCCCGCCGGACCAGCGCCGCCGCCTCGCCCTCGCCGCCCGCTGCGCGCCGCAGCGGCGTCGGCTCGCCCTCGTGCAAGCTTGCGCCGCTGCGCAGGAGGGAGGTGGCGCGGGCGGCGGTGAGGGTCTCAAGGTGCGCGAGCGGCGTCCAGCCGCGGCTGGCGACCAGCCAGGCGGCGAGGTCGGCGTGGCCTTCTTCGGTTGCAACCTCCTCGGGCGTGCCGAAGGGCGTAGTGGCGCGGGAGGCGCCGTAGGAGGAGAGGAGCTTGGCGACCTCGAGGTGGCCGTCCTCGCACGCCGCGAACAGCGGCGTGGCGCCTTGCTCATCGGCCTGGTCGGCCGCCGCGCCGGCCTCGAGAAGCAGCCGGGCGATCTCCGGGTGGTTGTTCTGGCACGCCATGAACAGTGGCGTGGCGCCGCCGTTCATCGCTTGGTTGATGTCAGCGTCGGCCTCGAGGAGCAGCCGAACGCACTCGGGATGGCCCTCCTGGCTCGCGATGAATAGCGGCGTGGCGCCGTTGTTGCGGGCTTGGTTGACCGCCGCGCCAGCGTCGCGCAGCAGCTGGGCGCACTCGAGCTGGCCCTTCTGGCACGCGATGAACAGAGGCGTGGCGCCGTGCTGCTGGGCTTGGTTGACCGCCGCGCCAGCCTCGAGAAGCAGCCGGACGATCTCGGGGTGGCCCTGCTGGCTCGCGATGAACAGCGGCGTGGCGCCTTGCTCATCGGCCTGGTTGACTGAAGCGCCAGCCTCGAGGAGCAGCTGGGCGCACTCGAGCTGGCCCTGCTGGCACGCCATGTACAGCGGCGTGAAGCCTTTAGCGTCTGCTTGGTTGACCGCCGCGCCAGCGTCGCGCAGCAGCTGGGCGCACTCGAAATGCCCCTCCTGGCACGCGACGTACAGCGGCGTGAAGCCTTCAGCGTCTGCTTGGTTCACCGCCGCGCCAGCCTCGAGAAGCAGCCGGGCGCATTCGATCTCGCCGTTGAAGCTCGCAGCGCTCAGCGGCGTGGTGCCGTCGTCCATGGGCTGCTCTATCTCCGCGCCCGCCTCGAGAAGCAGCTGGACGCACTCGAGCTGCCCCGTCTCGCACGCGATGATCAGCGGCGTGACGCCGCCGTCAGCAGCTCGGTTGACCGCTGCGCTCGCCTCGAGGAGCAGCCTGGCGCAGTCGAGGTGCCCCCCCTCGCTCGCGAGGAGGAGCGCGGTGGCGCCGCCGCTGTCAGCCGCCCCGACGCTCGCGCCGCCCTCGAGCAGCAGCCGCACCGCCTCGGCCTGCCCGTGCCGAGCAGCCCAGGTCAGCAGCGTGTCCTGCGTGCCGGTGTCGTGCCGCGCGTCGAGCTGGGCCGCGAGCGACGTGCCGCGCGTCCCCTGCCCGGAGAGGAAGGCGCGCAGCGAGGCCAGGTCGCCCCGAGCCAGGTCGGCGAGCTGGGTTGGGAGGGCGGCGCCGCTCATGCCGCCAGAAAGAAGCAGTGCGTCGTTCAACAGGCTACTCGAGTATGTCGAGCACCCAGCCATCCGCTCGGCACGCCGCCACTAGCGCCGGGAGCGTCTCGTAACCCGTGTCCGCCAGCTCGAGCCCGGCGAACCCGCTCGGCTCGGCCACCTTGCGACGCAGCGCCGCCGCGCTCGCTTCGCTCAGCTTCGAGTAGCACGCCCTGAAGCTTCCGCAGCGCAGCAGCAGGCGCACCATCGCCAGCGTCCCGATGCGCATCATCTGGTCCGAGTCGGGCGTGATCGCCGTCCCAAACTCGTAGCACGCGTAGTACTCGCCCTTCTTCCGCGCAAAGGTCACCTCCATCCGGATGAAGGCCTCGAAGTCGCCCTCGGTCATCACGCCCGCCCCGCCTAGTCCCCGCAGCAGCTCATCCGCGGCGATGGACAGGTCGCCCATCGTCAGCGGCGGCAGCTCGTGCCTGCCGGCGAGCGGCACGGCTCAGTGTCATCTCGCCCCATCGCACGCCAACGCCACCGTTCTACTCGCCTCTCTCTCTCTCTCTCTCAGCGGGAGACGCGCGCCAGTGGCTGTCCGAATCGGCCGCGTCCGCCGCGTCGTTCACCGCCATGCCCGGCCGGCACCCGGTCTGCCGCGCGAAGCACAAGTAGGCGTTCATGATGAAGGCCACGTTCACCTCGAACGGCTCCATCAGCTGCGTGTCCTGCATCTGGTACTCTCCCACCTGGAAGAGGTGCTGCTTCGTGCACGGCTTCGTCGTCGCCTCGCGCAGCTCGGCCATCGTCCGCCGGCTCGCCACCGCGCTCGCCCTCTCGCTCGCCGCCCGCTGCGCCGCCTCACTCTGCCCGTGCGACGCGCTCTCCTGCGCCGCCTCGCGGCCCGCCGCCCGGCCGGCGGCTCCTGCCGCGTCCTTCATCCCGCCGCCGCCGCCGTCGTACAGCGACATCACCTGCTTGGTCACCAGCCGCCAGTACTGCCTCGCGTCGTCCGGCATCGCCGGCCAGATCTCGCGCCACACGTGGTTCTTCATGTGCTGCAGCGCGACGTAGACCGTGTTCTCGCCGCGCCCCGTGCGCACCGTCGGCTCCTCGTCCCGCGCGTCGCCCCGCTCGGTCGCGTGCCACCGGCTCGCCCTCGGCGCGGTGATTCGCGTCGTCGCCAGCCACTTGCCGAAGCGGATCGTCCACCGCACCGTCGGGTGCAGACCGAGGGCCGTCCGCTGCATCGGCACGCTCTTCCCCGCCGCGGCCTGCGTCGCCAGGAACTCGCGCAGCCGCAGGCGCACGCGCCGAAGCTGCACCGACAGCGCCGGCCCGTGTGGCGCTAGCATCGGCCGCCCATCGCCGCACGCGGCCTCCTCCTGCCGCTCGTCATCCTCCGCCTCGAGGGCGTCCGCCAGCGCGCTGCGCCGCACACCCCGGCGCACAGGAGGCGGCGCCGGCCGCACCTCGGCCGCCTCGGCGTCGCCCGCGGCACGGGCGCCCCGCTCGCCGTCCGCGCGGTCCATCGCCGCATCCCCATCCCCGTCTGCGGCAGCGCCGCCTGCGCCCGCGCCGGCCTGCTCTGCGACGGCTCGCCACCGCTCGTCGTCCAGCATGTGCCACCACCGCCGATCCGGGTAGCCGTCGTACTCGACCTGGTGCGCGATCCGTCCGTCCCCGTCCTCCTCCCGCGCCATGACGGTCGCAGGGTACCACCGCTCACTGTCGCAGAAGATCTCGAGGCGCGATCCGGTGGACAGGACAGTGTGGCCGTCGAGCGCCGCCCTGGCATCCTCGCGCTGTCGCTTCCGCCGCTTCGCCTTCGTCTCCTTGCTGCGCAGCAGGGTGTAGTTCGGGCCCACCTCCGCCACGCTGTCCAGCAGCTGGGCGGCGCTCGCCATCTCGACCGCGTCGTCCTCCGGCGGAAGCTCCGCGTCGCCCGCGGCCGCTTCCCGAGCGCGCTCGTCGCGCATCCGCTCGTGGTGGGCCTGCCGACGCGCCACGCCGGCGCCCGTGTGCCTCGCCGCCGCGTCCGGTGACGGCATCGGTCGCTGCCACAGGTCGTCCCACAGGTCGTACCAACAGGTCGTCCCAAAGGGGACGCATCCAAACCGCCGCATTTCGCCCGCCGAAAAGTCTCCCACTCGCTCTGCCCCAATCTCGAACCAATCTCGAGTCGTCTCACTAGTTACATACATAACCCTCGCAGGAGTCGCTTAGGCGACTCCCGTGGTGTACCTGTGTTAGTGCCAGTGCGCGCCAGTCCCGTGCCCAGTGTTGTGCGAGGGTTTATAAACTTTTTGTGTTTACCCCCCCCCCCCCCTGGACGCGTCCACCCTCCGTCCAACATTCGCATCCCCTCCCTACTGTCTGAATACGTTTTCCACGTATTCCAAATGACCTCCCAGAGGCCTGTATTCCACCCGTATTCCACCCGTATTCCACGTATTCCATGGAATACGCCGTATTCCAAGCTCCAAAAATGGACGTATTCCGTATAAAATTTTCTTCGCTCCGCGAATTCAGACAGTAGGATCCCCTCTTTTACATACATAAAAACGGACACCCCTAAGCGTCTAGAGCTGTGCCTGATCTCTCGAGGTTCTCGAGGTGGATACAAGTCGGCCGACTAAATGATTTTCGACCGAACCGCAGCGAAACGCAGGGGCGGTCCCCCCCGACCGAGCTGCGAAACAACGGCCTCCA